CGTAGGGTGTGCTGCCCCCCACCTTGCTGTCCCCGTGGCAGGCACAGCACCAGGGCTTGACCCGTACCAGCATGCCCCAGCGCAGACAGAGTGAGTCACTAACATCCTTTGCAGCCTCTTCTTCATCTTTTCATAAAACAACCTATCGACCGGTGTGTAAATAGCCTGAAAATATGGTTGTTGCTGTTAGTCGAACCCTTTTTTTTCTCACAGTTCAATTACAGGACAACTCGTGCTGTACGTCTACTTCAGGATTAATATGGTACACGATTAGTAACGTACAAAATGTTTTTCCGTGTTTGTTTTACTAAACGCAGTCTGACTTCTTGTCCCATAACAATGAATTAGCTTGTGTCCTTTTCCCTGTGCTGCCCATTTATAGCTTCAGTTCGCCTTAATTAGCTGTGTTCAGTCAGAAACTTGCTGACTAAAAGATGCAGATACTTGCATTTATAAATCTCGCTTTGACCCCGGCAACTGTTTTGCAAAAGTACAAAATCCAATTTAATTTGCTGGAACAGAGGATCTGTCTTCTGTTCTTGAACAAATTGTACACAACACCCTAACTCCATTATTGCTTAGGATGTAAACAACTAGCAACATTTTTCTGTCGACAAAAATACTTTAACTTTATTGAGAAAGACGGGACAGTTGAAACAATGACAGCACTGTCACATCAGTGAACACAGACAACAAATCTTTTGTGTTAAGCGTGTGCTGATGAGGTAGCAAGTAGAGAATGTAGGGAATGATAAATAGACGAGAGGAAAAATACACATGCGAGTGAGCAAAGAGCGAAAAAGTAAAGAAAGAAACAAAGACAAGAACCCACGCTGTGTGTATCTATTCATCCCCTTGGGGCTCAGCTTGTATCAAGAGGGAAGGTGATGCAAATGTGGCACAGGTGAATTTTCACTTAATATATCTCAGGTGTTTGTCTCGAGTTCTCTTGTATTTGAAGACTGTTTTGACAGATATGTACAGTCGAGAATTCAGTCATTAGGTTGCATGATTTCTACATTAATGAGACCAAACAGAGTCTGTACTGTAGGAGAAAAACAGTGGGAGGAATGACGAGAACATAGTAGAATATAGTTAATAGATTTAAGATGATAAACAACAGATTTGACTGCTGCTTGACCTCCCACTGAGAGCTATGGCTGTGAACAAACAAACACAGAGTTGTTGCTGCTGACAAATGTCTCCAGAATAGAAAATGGAAATTGTCAGTTCTCTTCACAAGGTTGTGCTGAATGGAGGAAGCAGAAATTGTTGCATTACATTGGTTTGTTTGTTGATCTAATGTCTGATCTTTCCTTGCAAGCATGGGCTGGAAGTTAATACTGGATTTGAAATGTTTTAACCCCAATAAGTGTCTGCTGTTTTCTCTCTTTCTCTCCTCCTGCACATCACTACCTCTCTCTCTCCCTGTCCTTCAACCCTTTCTTCTCCTTATCTCATCTCTGTCATTCAAAAGAAATAAAATCGAATCTCCCATGTTCTCTCTCTTTATACCTTTGCCTCCCCCACAATTAATGCCTGTGACAAGGAGTGGAGCACCTAGTGCAGTACTTCACTGACGTGGCGTGGTACAGTAACGTTTCTTTAACATGCAGTTGACTGGTTGCCCCCCCCCGCCTCCTGCACGCTGGGCTGTGGTTTGGCGTCATGACGCACGACTGAAGCATGCTTCTTCTAAATCTGCGTCTGCATGCTTTGGGTTGGATTTTCCGTTGTTTTAAAGTTTTTGAGCCTGTGTATCTATACTTTGGTTTTCTCTTCTTAATGAAATCTGCTGTGATTCTTTGTTTTGTGTCAAATGTTTCACTTTTAATTGACCTGGTTTTTGGTGTCTTTCCTTTTTGCCTTCTATCAAATACGTATAAACAAAACGAAATGCATGCATGGGTAAGTCTTTCTTTGTGTGGATTTCTTTGCTGTATTTGATCAATTCTAGGTGTCCGCCATGAAGGATTTAGTGGTTTGAAAGCGATACAATTTAAGAATATCCTGTGTGTTGGCACGTGAATGCATATTACTGCTTAGCAATTTCCTTTATACTTACTCCCCTATCAAAGCAGTTAAGCAAAGCAAGCTCAAGACAAATCATATTGATTATACACCCTATGCGCTCACATTATTTCTACTTCTTAAACTTGAACACAATCCAAACCAGAATTTTCACGACCACGGATATTAATGCTAATGCAAAATCTTTCTTTTAAATGGATCGCCTCCATATTGCCACTCTTATCTGCTTATGCTGCAATCACATTGTCTTACCATAGACATAACAGGGATCATTTACATAATTGACCCTACACGGCCATTTTCACAGTGAAAGAGGCTGGAGATGAGATGGTAATAGTGTGCTTGACATACAGATTCACATTGACATCTTTCTTGTTTAGAAAGAACATTTCTATTCGAGTAATAGATATCATTAGTGGGCTGAGATATTAACTTCATTGCAGTGCAGGGAAGTGCTCAAAAAGGATTGCTGCTAATTATTAGTATCTGTAGCAGACAGCTGTAGATGCCAATGATTACTGACTGTAAGCCTATAGATCCTGCATGATGCCATCACTGTCAGAGGCTTCCTCCAGATGCGCCAGCTATAAATATATGCACTCAATGCAAACCTTGTAATAAAAAATGTCATTATTTCCCTATAGCCTTACAATATGAAAATGGTCATTTCAGTCAGTATTCTTCCCAGGAACAACATTATCTAAACTGAAAAAAAGTACAAGTCCTATTAGGGCTGTGCGATTATGGAAAAAATCATAATCACGATTATTTGGGTCAATAATTGATATCACGATTATTAAATACGATTATTCATTGACTTTGAAAAAATCAATTTATTGAACTTTAAAACAAATACAAATAATAATTTGAACAGTATCTTTTTAACTGTTGATTACCCTGAACGTATAATTCAACTGAAAAACCAATACAAAAATAAATGATACATTTAAATAAATAATATCAAAATAATAAATACCAATAAACAAGATCAACAAATATTTTGGAGCGCACTTCCCCAAGCTACTAAACATATATAAATATGATAAATACAAATAAATGAGACCAAAATTATTTAGATCAAATATGTTGCAGTGCACAACCTACCTTTTTTCGATTATGTTGTTTTCGTAATTGTGGCAGGCCAAAATCGTAATTGCGATTTAAAATACGATTAATTGCACAGCTCTACGTCCTATCTATAATGATGATTTGTTCTGATTGACTTTCTTATCACCTGTAATCAGTGAAATGTTGAAATATTTGTATGTCGTTTCTGAACTATGGCGTTCAGCAGTTAAGATTTGAACTGTGTCTGAAAGGAAAATAACATATAGATAGAAAAATCTTGATAACATGGCCATGATTTGAGTGACAGACTAATCAGAGCTGTTGTGAAAAACAACATAAACACTCTCTATATAGGAGCATTTTAAATTACAGACTTTCAAAAACGAATATCAGTATTGCATTGCTTGAAAAACACACAACAACAAACAGACGCTGAGAAGTGGACAAGGGTTTTGCAAAAGGCCAGCGGAGGCATTGTGGCAGGGGACCAGGAGATGGAGCTGTGGCCTCGGACATTCACTCCCACATACAATATTAATGACTGATGGTAGAAACGAGCAGAGTAGCTTGACCTGCACAGCTATATATTCACACCCTCAGAGATCTTTATACTTTCAACTCACAGAGGGTATGTTTCTGCTAAAAGTGAGTTCAGGCTTTCATGTAGCTTTAGATGGTTCCAGGTGGATTTGGATACTTTATGTTCTGCTCAAAGGACATGGAGGCCAGTCCAGTAAAAAGCTGGCAGAAGTGCCATCGGTACGCCTTAAAGTAGCCTGTCTCGAGCTAGCAGACTAGCATAAGAAATAGTATCAAAGATTTGTATAGATGTTGAGGTCATAAACAATTCAGAAAATGTACTCGTATACAGTATAAGATATTCACATCAATATTGAATTCGTTTTTCTGATTTGAGCATCTCTGCTCTTGCTGTTGGTTGTATGGACTAATAAGCACCGTTGGCCTTCTATTCCGCTGCTTATCTGGAAATGTAATGCAGAAAAGTTGTTGTGACCAAGGTTAAAGCTATTTTATATTCCTATATATCATTCAGGCTTACCGTGTTGGTGATATCTTAAATCTTAAATGTAACATGTGCAATTGAAACCACTCCAATCCATTTTGTGCTGTTGAAACAAATACTAACTCTGCTAAGTCATAATGAGTTTCTGTCAGAGAGGTTTCACTCAACTCTTTTGAAGCCCTAGTTTGTTGTTTTGTCGCGCTGGATAATTAGCAGCTGTCTAGCACAACAACTATGGAACATAATAAGCTTCACTGAGACGGTAATTGTTACAGGGCTGTTTAAGAATGGCATTATATTGTTCAGGTGTTTATGATTTTGTGTTCATTCCCTGTGTGTCCCCTGGTGGAGGACAACACCACGGTTGGTCTACATTTCATGTGGTTAACGACTCAGCACGTTCTAACACAGGCAGCAGGCATCATAGCTCTTATATTTTGGAGTCCCTCTGCGGCAGCGATCACAGAACGAGTCAAAGACTTCAGTAGATCCCGGGCTTTCACATGGCAAGGTTATTCTCCTCAGCTTGTTTTTATCTGCTGAATCAGGGCTTCCTGTGTGACTTTGCCTCTCCCATTGGCAGTGTAGTAGTTGAGTGACTGGCAGTAGACACAGGATACGATTTTAAAGAGTAAACACATCATAAAAAGGCAGATGTTTTGATGTGCTCTTTGATTCAGAATGAATTTTGAAACAGCAAAATATTTAAAAGCTGGGAGTCCACAGGGATCACTAAAAACTGTGACATTTTCAAATCCTGCCCTTTGTGGAATATGGTCAAAACAAACCAGTTGTACCTCTTAATACCCTGACTGTTACTTGGCTATTTTATACCCATCTTCTAAACATTTTAATTTGATCTTTTCTCCTTCTACAGCCTCAAATACTTCAGCCTTTCAACCCCTGCCTCAACGAGCACCTCCACCAGGGAAGACAAGTAAAAACTCCCCCCACCGAGGGCCACAGTGACTTCACAAGGAGTAGATCAGAGGAAGAAGGAACGCACAGTGATGCTTGTCGTCCTCCTGATGACCTCATGGCAGATGTGTCTGGGCCGGCAGACCCTGACGGGCTGCCTCGTCTCCTCCGCACCCACCTACGTCCTGCAGCTCCACAGGGAGTCGCTGCCAGAGACAGTGCAGCATCAGAAGCTCAGTCTGCAGCCCAGCGTGGAGGGGGGGCACCCGCTGTGATTTCGCAGAGCTCTGTCACTCCTAAATCTGCTGGTTCCTCTAGCCCTCGCATGCTGCAGCCCCCTCGCCTTCACAAGCGCGTGTCTCTTCCCGCACTCAAGCCAGGGGGCACTGGTAGCTTCGCCTCTCTGAAGCCGGGCTGCTCTTTAGGACCCCTGGCTAACCGGACCAAGCAGCAGCCCCCTCCGTCTAGAGGCCTTCCCTGCTTTAACGCTGGACCCCAGGTTCAGTCTCTAAGTCTGTGTCGCACTTCACTGCTTCAGCCTCGCAGAGCATCAGAGCCTTTCAGTGATCTGCGGGGCTCCCACTCCAGCCTGGAGGAGCCCAATCAGGGGACACTCAGAGACCCTCGGTCAGCCAGGATCCTGATCCCTTTGAGTCGCTCAGGCCTCCCCAAGCCAAAGATTCCCTGAGGAGCCTAATCTCACCCGTCAGAACTTTAAACAGGATTCACTCTGACATTGATATTCACCCCCTACCCCCTTTAGACATTATAACAGTGTCACTGTGTTTCATTTTGGATGTCACAAGAACATACACTGAGCTCATTAACCCACATGGACCAATCAGGGACTGCCTGTGTCACTGACATTGGTTTTGTGACTGCGGCATTCACATCTACAACTCCCACATGATTGACTGATTTAAATAAAGTATGAGCAGGATCTTATCTTCCATAGTGGTATGTGACAGTTTTCAGATTCAGGGGGATTGATGAAAGAAGAAACGTCCATTTAACAAGCCTTGCGCATGCATATGAATGAATAATAGTGTTACCATTCAGAGGGGACAGCTTTAGTTTTTTATACCCGCTGGCTGTTATGAAGTTTCAAAGTTTAAGTTCACAGCTGTGCCCTTTGACACACAGGTGCATTTATTTTCAAACATGGAGGTGACATAAATGTGACCTTTTCAGTGTAATAGAAGACCCAGGGGCAGATGGAGGCAAACATATAAAGTGGTAAAAAGAAGGATAACATAAAAGCAGAAGTGGCATGGGGGCTGGTTTGAAAAACAAATTTGTCAAAGTGCTCTGGAGCTGTCACTCCCAGAAAGAAAATGTGTTTTTGTAAATGTGCCAGAGTGTATGTATGGAGGTGAGAAATGACAGACATAGAGGTGAAGTGCATACATGTTTTTATTTCAGTTGCATCCGGAGTGAACCTCTGAACTCACACCCTCTGTGTACAATGAAGATGGGAATATAGGCTTATAAAAAACAGTATCATGCTGGTGGTGGAGATAATGGTTTCATCATTTAGTTGAGAGAGCGGTGTACAAAAGCACTCGCACTTAAGTGTGCTCAGGTACGACGTAGGCTTTACTCATATTTGCGAACACACACAGTACTGAACAGTGTGAAGCAGTTATTTTAGGGCTACTTTAGAGATGGAAAACAGTGAAGAGTACCAGGAAACATTATGTATGACCTGAGTGAGGAGAAAAGCATGTAACAAAATTAATTTATTATATACGAGTCTTTGAATCCTTGTCCTAATAAAAAAAAAGAACACGCAACATTTCCAGTAATGTGAGAAAAGGGTTAGTGAAAAGGGTCAATTCAACCTTTTCTTGCATTTTTGTAATGCTTGCTTCGTTCTTGAACTGTCTCCCCTTAATGACCCACACATGTACATATCAGCTTACAGGAACTCATTAGATGTGTGAAGCTGCTGCCTTGTGTGTATACTGAATGTGAGTTTGTGTATGTGTGAGTATGAGTGTGTGTGTCTTCCTCCCCCCCCCCCCCCCCCCCCCTTGTCTCTCTCCTCTCGCTCTCTTGCACATCTCTTTGGGAACATCAAAGGTATCAGTGTGTTATTTTCAGGTAGGGAGCCTTTGGGGCTTTAGTGGTGTTTCTGTTGAAGCTTTGGAGAATTGTGTTTATCTCTCCTTTGCGGAGCCCTTTTTGCAGTCAAACGCTCTCGAAAATGTCCCCGAACGGAGAGCAGCAGTGTGTTAAAAAGGCCTTCTGACAGCAACTCAGCTCTCTTCTCTGTCACGCCGCGTGACCGCTTGGTGTACGCCTTTGGCACTGTCCGGTCTACTGCATCCAATAATGCACCCTACATAGACAGAGTGAGACAGGAAGAGAGAGAGTGACACACAGACATATCACACACATACACATCCGGACACACAAGATACATTGACGCACACACACGCACAAGAACTCTGATAAAACTCAAAGAGACACAAAACTCAGAGACACATCAGTTCACACTTCCTGGTAGCCAAACAAATGGGCCTACATGCACACACTTTGAATTCTATAGTAAAGTGCTTAAAAGTGTTGTTTGTGTTGTTTTGGTAGTTTTCACAACATGAGCTCGCCAAGTACACATTGATCCATCTGTCCACTGCAGCCAAGAAAAAGGTGGCACTCCCTGGATTACCCTGGAAATGGGTAGAGGCTGGAAATGTGGATCCATGTGACTGATAAAGCGTGTTTACCTGTTGGAACGATTCAACACTGTGCCAAACCAGCCAAGCAGTCAACACTGCAATGGGAAGCCAAGAAAAACCCATTTATTTTAATGAAAACAGAGACAGAACGTATAGAGAGGATGAGAAAGATGCACAGAGAGAGACAAGAAGACGGAGCGTGAAGAGAGAGCAAAGACTAATAGATGATCAGATGAAATAGTGAATGTGCTATGATCAGGATAAGCTGGCAGACGTTTCTGCTTGTGAATGTCTATACAATGTTGTGAAGGTTTGCGTAAGAGAGGAGAGTGACACAGAATACTTCACATGTTTGTTTGTGGGCTCCGTGGTCCGGAGAATGGCTCACTAACTGCTTAGTTATGCCAAACAGGAAATCAGTGTTTCCCGCTATATGTTTGTGCATCTGTTTGTGTGTGTATGTGCGTCTCCAAACACCTCTGGCTGCCAGTGTTTCTGTGGTGTTTGTGAGTGTGTGTGAGAGAAAGATGCGTCTGCCTACAGGCCAAAGGCAGACCCATGCCAGGGAAGCGGGGCACTGTCATCCTTCTCTCCCTGTGCTGTATTTCCTATCTCCCGATCAATGTCCCTGCTCAGTTTAGCATTCAAGACAATCAGTCTTGCTAGCTTTGCTATAACAAAACCACAACTTGGATCGATTCTAATGCAGGATCTTGATTCACTTCGTTTTGTGACTCACACATTTTTAAGCTGCATTGCACAACAGGAAAAAGCACCCAGGTTGTTCTATATTATTATTTCTTAATGGCACCAAACTCACATTATCCATCTATTATCCATTACTACAAGAACAAAACACAGAGGCATATTTGCACCTGCTATAATCTGTATTTGTGTTTCGACAACAGATCAGATGTGTGTGAAGCTGCTTTTACAAACCCACAGATAAGCACCCCCTGTACATCTCTAGGTCCCCTCTGCTTGAAAGACGATTTTAGCCTCTTTCAATGTACATCAAGGTCATTTCCAGATGGAGCAGGCAGCTGTTTCCAGTGAAAAAAAGCTCTGAAAAACCTACTGTATCCTCCCTGGCCAAAACCATACGACAGAGAGAAAAATTAAGTTACAATCGAGCTGCAGCTAGCAAAAGAAAAGCAAAGAAGAAAATTAAAAAAAACACTTTGACACAAACATGACTCCAAATTAGTGAATGAGAAGATATTACAAGCTATTGTTTGCTAACACAATGACCCTATAAACTTTATAAGGTGTCAATCTGTTGTTCTGGTTCTACAGCTGCTGTCCGCTGCTTTCAAGATGCCAAAAATAATGAGTTAATGCATGTGGGGCAGTTGTTTTGTGGCCATCTTCTACCTTCTCCTGTTGACGGTTTGAAAGTAGAGTGCTTAAACTTGCAAAAATGCCGTTGCTTATTTTTGGAGTAACTCTCTTATATTTGACTGTGTTGCATTACATTTCCCATCAGCCACAGACACAGTCCACTGCTTCAAATCTGCCACGTAGTATAGCTATTTATATCCCCATAATATGCAATGTCATTGTGTTAATCACATTCATAATACTATAAAACTACTACAGCCGTTAAGCACTGTCTCCTGTATACTGTGCAATAATGTCTTGAAGCTGATATGTAAGGGAGCGCTACACTGTTTTTTTGCAACCTTTTATGCAAATGGATAAAAAGCTAATAAAGCTTTTTAAAAATTCTAATCTTAAGCACTTTAAATGACATTAGTTGTTAATGCTGAATGAACATTGAACTGGATTTGAAGATACTTGGTTTTGAAATACATTTTGATTTCTAATATTATTTTCCTTTTCCCAGTGTGTGTCTGTTTGCAAAGATATTCTATTTTCTAAGTAGCCATGTGAGACTGCGATAAAGGTTGAACCAAAAATCTAACAAGGGTGTTTCAGCTAACCTTCTGTAAGTGGCCAAATGTCACCGTTTACCATGTTTCTTTAAAATGTTGTTTCCATCAAAATTGCTTGCATGTTAGACTAATAACCTCCAGCTGGTTTACGCAAAATGTCAAACATCAGAGCAGAATATGGTGCTGTGCCATGAAAGAGAGGCCACAGGTGAAATCCCTGTGGTGGGGTACTTCTTTGACAGTTAATGTTGTGTATTGATCCGGATCATAGACCGTTGTCAACGCTTACAAACATAAAGCTGCTGACCTCAGTTGAAGATGAGAAACCTCATTCTTACTTTTTTCCCTTGTTTTCACCGTCTACTGGTTTTGTTTCTGGAAATAAAGTATGATTGTGAAACTAATGTGGTTTGGTCTGTTTTCTTTGTGTAATTCTTTTTATAAACTAACACCTTTTTCCTATTTACACCATAGCTTGCGTGTCACTGAGGCACTTTTACGGAAATTCTGTAAGAGGTTGCTTTTAGGTCTTATAGCAAAAGGCATTGTTCATCAAGCATAACCCATCTCTATTCATTACATTATATGCAGTCTCTGTACACCTTATATAGTCGACTTACTAATGAGGTTAAAAGCTTCGGAGGCGATGGGTGGATAACAGCCTGCCAAGCGCAAGGAGTAGCGTGACACTGTCATTAACTTGGAAAGGTTGGAGATGCAAAAGGTTTCTCACTTTGAAAGGAAGCCAGGCTTTTTTTATCATAAACTGTCAAATACGTTGCAGGTTTTCACTGTGTAATGTTAGAGTGCTGCATGTTGCTACCTCTGAGAACACAAGTTTGTTAGTCATTTTATGGATAATATTGAGGAAAAGACAGTATAAAATTATACAATTGGTGCTCTTCAATTATGCAAATGTATGCTATTGAGTATTTCTAACAGCAGGGTGGTAAAATCCTTCAGTTTCCCTTTTAATTTCACCTCGAAGATCCTCTTTTACCACACATTTATATTCTGCAATGCAGCTCTTCATTAAACATTCATAATGTTTAACACCAAAGACTATTTGTTTTATTATGGCTGCACCATGAAATGAATGTATTGTTTTTATGCTACATTTGATAGTGGAAATGTCAAGCCACCACTAGAATGGTGCTGCAGGTTAATTTGATTAAATGTTGAGTTTATAATACTGTTCAACATGTATATAGTTATGGACATGTGTAGATGTCTTTAATTGTTTTGCATTGGAAAAAAAAGTCTATATGGTGATTATATATAAGTTATATAAGTTATTTGAATTTCTCTCTCTCTCTCTCTCTCTCTCTCTCTCTCTCTCTCTCTCTCTCTCTCTCTCTCTCTCT